CTCATTTACTAATTTGGCATGTTTAACTCCTCTCATTGTTAACTTTGCTTCCTTCTGATTTTTTTTTTTAATCTTGTCATGATTTTTAAGGAACATAAGGACTCTCCACTTCTTCAATCATTTCACTGTAGATTTTTCTTCATTATTCACTAACCTTCCTTATTCACTACCACAATAGAACTCTGTGCATGAAGTGTAACAGAAAAAACATACTGAACAGAACCTGAACCTTGCTATTCTAATAATAGCAAGACTAGGGAGACTGGCTTGGTGAGGGAACTGGAAGTGCAGTACTGATGAAGCAACAAATTTTAAGTTAGAGTAATAAAGCTGATGTCAAATTTCAAAGAAAGGGCTAATTTTAACCATATTGGTAACTAATTAAAAATATACCTTTTAAACTAAGAAATCCTAATGACTGAGGTAGATGATGCTGTTATCAGATACTGAATTAGGTTTAAGGTATAAGGGAAAGAAAGCACTGATGTAAAATTATCTTCGTTTAAATTCAGATGGATAATTAAGAATGCTTCCAATTCAACATTCTAAACATGAAATCCAGGTATGACCTATCTGGTGCTCACTTTTCTATTTGAAGATGAACTCAGCAGTTGGTGAAAAGATCCACATGCTAACAGAATGGCAAACCACAAAATAGTTGTCCCCATGAAAAAAATCAGTTACTCCGCGTTTGATATTTCCACCTGGGCTCATTCTCAACTGTTCAGGATGTGGATTCCTGAAGGTTTCTTCAGCATTTAACTAATTCTTTGTTGGATGAAGGGGCCGGGACTGTTTCTCCACACATAAATTGATCCTAAGACAGAATGAGAAATGACATTGAGTTCTATATCACAAGTATATTAATATTACCTTCATTTTGTTAGAGATTCAATACAGTTATTAATTCTCCCATTGCTATATTGCTTCATTCTTGTTCAAGGCCAGAACTAGAATTAAAATTTTAAAAGTATACTGGTATTCAGTACTGAATTCATCATTTAATAAATGCCTTATAAACATGCCCATCTTCACTTGCAAGCTACCATTTCTTGGAAATAATGTAAGGGCATGTTACATTTTCTGTTTTTATATTCATTATTTCAAATTTTGGTCATTTGAAGTTATATCCTTTTCAAACTAATCCCTTCTTTCAACTAGAAGAAATATGTCTTTAGATGTGTTTTTCCAACACAGATAATCTACAATGTTAGCTACTTTTTAAATGAAATCCAATCTCTGATAATTTATCCTGATTTATGTCAACTGCCACAAGAACACTCTGCCTCCCAGGCTACCCCTGCAATCTGATCCCTGAAGGATCAGTTACTACTCTTCCTGCCTCTGGAATTCTTCTACCTTGCTCTTTGGAATTCATGGTCCACAATGGTCCTTATTCTCAACTCTTCTTTAAAGTGTTCCTTTGCCCCTAATGTCTGGAAACATTTTAGGCTGATGCACCTGAGGGTTGCTTACTATCATTTAATGGGAAGAGCCCAGGGATGCAGCTAAACATTCTACTAAGTACAGGTGAGCTCTGCACAACAATGCTAGGTTGAGATGAAGTTATAACCCAGGGCAGTTTCCCCTACGTCCCCTTCTAGTGTTTTCAGAGCCCTAGTACCACAGGGCTTGGAAGTGGGATTGGCTCTTTTCTGTCACCATTCTCTTCCCTTGTCTAAAATCAACCAACTTTGAATCTTATCTCATGAGACCATACCATCACTAATCTTCTCTGTTACTGCATCTATCCATCCCAAATCCTATATTTCAACCCCTCTGGACCTCTTCTTTATCCCTACCACCTTTTCAGAGTCCCTCATCTAGATGTTCTCTTTACCTAAGTTCACATTCCATGGTCAATTATATCCGCTCTTCTCTATTCACTTGGCAAAACCACAACAATGGTGAAATCTAACTTCCAGTGTCTACAATGATGGAGCTGAGGAGTTATGACCTGAAAACCTCTGATAATCCTCTATCACTACCAGGTATTGTACCATGTCTCTGCTTCTCTTTGTAGCAAACCATTTTAAAGAAATGTCCACACTTATTGACTCCTATTTCCCCATTCTTTTTTTTTAAAGAATGATTTTTTTTAGTTGTTGATGGACCTTTATTTTATTTATTTATATGTGGTGCTGAGATTTGAACCCAGGGCCTCACACATGCCAGGCAAGTGCTCTACCGCTGGGCCATAACCCCAGCCCCTATTTCCCCATTCTTTCGAACTATTTCCCATCTACCACGTTTCTCCAATCAGGCTGTCCCCAGTCCCTCCCTGAAACTGCTCTCAACACCATCATAAGTTAATCGTGTGTTGCCAAAGCCAATAGTTAATTCTCAGTTTTCTTCTAACAGTGGAATCTGACAAGAATCTCATTCCTCCCCCTTTTCTCATCTGGCTCCCAGGATATGGCACTGTTGAATTTCCTCCTTCTGCAATGTTTGCTCCTTTTCAGTTAGCTTTGCACATTCCTTAACTTCTTCCTTGACCTTTTAATACTAGAGCACCTCAAGATTCAGTTCTTTCTTTTGTCCATTTCATCTATATTCAAAGTCCTGGGGATCTCATCCAATATCCTGGCTCTGAATACTATCTTTTGCTGGTAACTCCCAAATTTATAATGCCAGCTGTCATGCATATTCAATTGCTTTCTCAGAAGCTCCGCTTGGATGACAAATAGCCTTCTCAAACTTAGTATATCTACCTCCCACCTGTGTACCTATAGTTCTGTAACCCCAGCTGTTAGTAATTCTACCCTTCTAGCTAGACCAAAAATGCTAAAATCACCCGATTCCTCCCATACTTTACATCCAACCAGCAAGAAAATCCTTATCTTTCAAAGTGTATATAGAATCCAACCACTTCTCACCACCTCCATTGCTCCAGTCTAAGCCATTTCTTGCTTTGATTAGTGTAACAGCCTATTTGTTTTTCCCATTTCTCTCCTTGCTCCCTCAGTCTACTCTGAACACAGTAGCCAGAATCATCCTTTTAAAACATAGGTGGGGTTATAGCATTTCTGTTTAAAAATCCTCCAGTGGTTCCCTCCATCATTCACAGTAAAAGCCAAAGTTGTCTCTTTAAATCTTTGTGATCTGTGCCACTCTTTTCATCTTGAACTATCTTCACCCTCATTTGCTCTGATCACTGGCCTTTTTTTTTTTCCTTGACAAAACCAGGTATATTCCTGCCTTAAGATCTCATCAATGAATGTTAATTTGCCTAACTCTATGTCACACATGTAAATAGCTCTCTTATCTCTTTCAAATCTTTACTTATATAAGGCCTTTCTTAATAAATATTGTCATTATTACCTTATTTTAAATTATAGCCTCCTCCCAGACTGGCACTCCAGATTTGTTATAGAATACATTTTAACACAAGAATAAATTATTTAAGTTCTACATTATGGTCTAAATTATAGCCTACTTCTCTTGAAGTCTTGTCTGCACTTTCCTTATACTAATATTAGAGTTCATCTTTAAGAATCCATTAGAAAAATAAAACTTTGGGGGAGAGTAGTTTTTTTCTATCATCAATATCCTTGTGAAAGACAATAGGATAACTGAAGAATAAAATGCAACTTCAAAATGGCAATGAGGTATTATATTCAAACAAGATACTCAAGTTCTACATATAAGCTAAGCAAGAAATGATAAGTAACTGTTCCTTTCAAAATGTAACCAGGGGCTCTGAAAATAATTTAGTTACATATGAAATAGAGGGACAGAGTGTCAGTTAAGACATTTAAAATTATTTTTCTTCTATATAATACATAATCGTTTCCATTAAAGAGTTTTCTTTATCACTCTCTTCAAAGCTAAAACGAGTTACATAATCAGAATTGTAAATTTTAATTTATGATATGGCTGTTAATTAGTAATTTTTAAAGCTTGTTTTAAAAAAAACAAAAACAGCGCGCGCTTAACCCAGCACCTTGTTAAGGAACAATCTTTTGCATTTACTTATTACAGCCAGGCTGCTCTAGGTCCTTGCCATTGTCTCACACTCCGCCCCCCCCCCATTTTAAAATTGACCCCTTACTTTGTCATAAATCACTTTTATAATGAGAGAGCAGCTAGGACACGTTGCCACGTCTTCTCCATTCTCCAAATCTTCCTATAACGAAATCAAACAACGTTTGGTCAGCACGATCTTCCCTTCGCTATCTCCTCCCCATCAAACCTCTCCCACCTCTATGTGGCTTGCCTCCCTGCAAGGTGGGTGCGAGCCCAAAGAGCCTTCTCCCTCACTTAAAGGGAAACACTCAGGAAGGTCAGCGAGGTTCCGTTGCCTCAAACCCCCTGGGAAACAAAAACGATTCCCCTCTGCCAAAGAAGTATCCGGGAAGGGACCCTTAAGAGAGACCGGGGAGTAACAAAACCGGCTCTCCTTGACACCCACTCCCGGGCTAAACTGAAGGCCAGAATGATGTGCCCGCTGAGAGTTCAGGGAGAGGGATGGGTTTGGGAACACAGAACATGAGTGGACTCAGGGCCGCAAGGATGACTGAAAGCCAATACGCACAGCGAAAACGCGCCTGCTCTAGTGAGTCCCTGCGCGGGTCCCTGAAGTTACCTTGGTGATAGAAAAGTTATCCCCACACGGACAGGGGTAGAAATACGTTTCGGAATCCTCGTCATATTGGAAGTCCTCGATCTCCACCTCGTCGTGAAACACTGCCATGGGGTCGCTGGGGCCGGCAGAGGGCAGGTGCCCCAGCCGTTTGACAACGCCTCTATAGGTCTAACTTCCCGAAAGCCGGCTGGGACCGGCGCCGTCACCACGCTCTGGGGCAGGAACTACCGCTTCCGGCGCATAGACAATGACGCAACTCCGGCCTTGGCCGCCAAATGGGTGACCGGGTCGCGGTCACCATGGAGATGATTGAGTTATGGGCCGAGACACTGGAAAGATGGCGCTTCCTGCTCAGCAGTGTCGCGCAGCCCTACTCCCATTGGACAGCAGCGACCAATAGCATGCAAGGCTCGCTCGTGCTGCCATTACGTCACCCCGTGGACCTTGGAGGCTCCACGGCGGAGGCGTGGAATTTGGAGCTGGGCTATAAAGTAAGTGTCCGGGGCGGCTGTAGTGTGCAGCCCGTCGCTGACTTCAGGGAGGTCTCAAACGGCCCGCTGAGGGCTGCAGCTTTCACCCACCTGGCCCTCAGGAAGAGGAGGGCGTCGCTTGGGTTCCAGACAGCGGTAGGAGCAGCTCAGCGTGCTCTCTGCCCCTCACAGGTGACAGACAACCAGCTCTCGTGGAGTTTCGCTTCAGCTAGTGACCTTGAGCCCAGGGCGAAGCCCAACTTATATCTCCTGGCGCAGGTACATACCCGCCTCTTCCTTCACCCCAGACATCTTCAAATATCCCGTTTTGTGTTGCTGAGAAGATCAAGATCCGGAAGGCAGGGACTGAATTCTAGTTACATATTTTCCAGGCACATAACATCATTAACTATTATGATACGTAGTAACAGTAACGTTCTTGTTGTTATTCTTATTATTGGTAGTTGTTATGTGCCAGGTATTGAGCAAAGTATAATTATCCCATTAAACCTGGGGGTCCATTTTATTAATCTTTAAACTGAGGTACAGAGTGGGCATCTTGACTAACCTCACTTACCTTGGAAATAATGAAAAGCCTGGCCATCTCCAAAGCCCAGGAACAGACTACTAATGCGAACCCCAGTTTCTTTGTAAAACGAACAGTGTGGGTACGTAAGATTATCAGTAGGAGGCCTGTGTATATCCTGAAGCTAAATGCCAATAAAAAGTGGTTTGTCTTTGAAAATAGTGCCTGTTTTGGTACAACCCCCTCACAATGGGGTACTACTCCATTACTAGGCAGTTATTCACATATCAGTAGAAAAGGAATGCAGTGTTGAAAAAGCATTGTTGAAAACCAGAAGATCTGACTTAGAATCTGACTCGATTGCAAATGAGCTCTGGTTGGAGATTTACATTCTTCAGGCCTATTTCTCTTCAAGAAAACATTGGGCTAGAGATGATTCCAAGATCCTTTTCACTAGCATTCTTCTTTTACTTGGAAATCGAGTCTCACTTGGTTTGGCAATCAAATAAAACTTCACATTTTCATAACACATACTTAATACATCCTTATGCTTATGTACTTACACTCAAGTGTTTCCATGAAGTTATCAATTTTGTGCACACTGGATAAGCTCTGCTTGGATTTTAGCCCTTGTGTTTTACTTTTTGTTTGTGGTACTAAAGATAGAACCCAGGGCCTCATACCTGATAGGCAAGCCCTCTCATGCTGAGTTTTATCCCTAGCCCTTAATTTATTTTGAGGTATGGTATGTGGAAGTTGCCCACACTGGTTTTGAATTTTAGATCCTCCTGCTTCAGTCTCCTGAGTAGCTGGGATTGCAGTTGTGTGTCTTCAAGCTCTTTTAAAGCTTGAAAACATGAAGACAGAGAAGTCTTTGGGAGAAAATTCCAGAAGTACATTAATGGAGTTGGTAGAAGGTCATTTCAGAGGTCCCACAAACAATTTTTGCTAAATTGGAGATCTACCCAGCAATTAGGTAACATTTAAAACTTGTTGAAGTTAACTGTGGAGATTCAGGTGTGTCTGGAGAAATCCCATTAAAGCCCACACAGCTGTGTGGTTGCTCTTGGTATCACTTAGACACAAATACTTCCCAGATAGTCTTTTGGAGATAGGCGGAAGTGTTTAGTTCCATTGATTACAGAACTGTCTTTAATTCTTTTATGAGCCACTTTTGAATATACATAAATGAATGCAAGTCATGTTTTGTTTTATAGGAAGCATAAATTGGAAGGTTCATTTATATTATATATTATATAAAATATATATATTTTTTCTTTGGTGCTAGAAATTGAACCTAGGGCCGTGCGCAAGTTAAGCACATGCTGTTTCACTGAGCTAGAATTACAGTCCTTGTAGGCCTTTTGGAAAGCAATTTGGACTTACTTAGAACAGTTTGCTGCCAGGCATTGTGGCATATGCCTGTAATCCCAGCTGCTTGGGAAGCTGAGGCAGGAGGATCAAAGCCAGCCTTGGCAACTTAGCAAGGTCCTAAGCAACTTAGCGAGAGCTCCTGTCTCTAAAAAAAAAATATAAAAAAAGGGGCTGATGTGGCTCAGTGGTTAAGCACCCTAGGGTTTAATCCCCACTACCCCCCCCCCCAAAAAAAGAAAAAAAACCCCACCCCAAACACACCAGTTTGCTGGAGCATCTTAAAATCTTAGGTTAAAATCCTAAAAGTTATAGGGGATGTCAGGTAGTTTCTCTTTGTAATTTTATAACTTTAAGAATTATCTAAAATGGAAAAAGGAACACACCACTTATTGGTCGTTGACATGTGCCAGGCACTGTACAAATCCTTCGTAGGCATTATGTTGTTAAAACAACCCATTCAGGTATAGGTATCATTAACATTGGGAAACCTGATGGTTAAGGCAAATTAGTGAGTTGCAGTGAGCCATGGTGACAACTCGGATCTTTCTGATCCTAGAATTTAGGCTCTTAATTAACTGCAATGCCATTTATGATGTGATGGTGTTTCAAGCAGGCTAGTTGAAACAAACATTGATTTGATTATGCTGGTTCCCCTGAGACCTAGTGTTGGGGATGGGGGGGATTATTCTAGGCCTTCCATTACTGCTTTTATCTTGCCACCTGTTGTTCATCCCCTTTGGCCACAGGTGGTTCCTCTTGTGGTTCTGACCAGTTTGAGCTTGACTGTGAACAAAGAGAAACCATAGTGAAGCACATGATGTACATTTTTTGTTTTGTTTTTTTTTACTCAGTTAAAGAAAACATTCAGTGACTATTGATTTTTACATTTATTCCTAACAGGGAATAGACACATTTTGTAAATACACATTTTTGAACCCTGAGAGAGTGACAGAAGCAGATTTGCTTGTTCCTATGGTCATTTGAGATCACAAGTTTATCTTTTTACCATAAATGTTAACATTGTTTATATGGAAAGTAATAGTGACCAAAATTCTTAGTATAATATCAGATTTAGAACTGGGTCATAACTGTGTAACAAACTGTATTTGACTGCTGTTATATTTCAGGCGAGGGGGAGTTGTTTATTGGCACTATCAAATCACTACTTCTGTAGGTCATTTGGCAAGGAGAAGGGGGTTTTTAAGTTAAGGATTTTGTATTAACACTCTTGCTTACCGGGTACTTCACAGGTGTTATTTTATTCATTTCAGCAATCCAGTGAAGCAATGTGGGTGTTGTTAAAATGGTAAAAGATGCTTTGCCCAAGATTGAAAAAGGGCAAGAAGGAGTCAAACTTGAGCCTAGTCCACTGATTCAAAGTCAGGCACACTCCTCATACCACTTGTATACCACTGAGTTTTCCTTACCAACCCCTGGAGTCTCATTGCTTCCTCTGTGACATCTAGATTTCTGAATTGACAGGTGCCAGATTGGTCTTCAAATTTACTTCATTTCAGGGGACTCGTGGTCTTTGAGGCATTCTTGTTGCATTTGCTGCTGTCCTATCTCATCCAATTTATCAACAAGTTGTAGGGCTCTAATTTCAAAATAATTTCATGTGAATCTATTTCTGTCATCTCTATAGCTCTTATCCTTTCATAATGCCCCCTCCCCCTGCCTAGCATTGGAGATTGAACCCAAGGGCACCCTACGACTAAGCTACATCTTCAGCCCCCCCTTTTTTTTTTTTTTGATTTTGAAACAAGGTCTCATTAACTTGCCCATGTTGGGCAACTATTTAATTTAATCTGGAAGGAACAGATTAAATTTAAGATTTGAGACAAATTACAGTGATTTCAGTTCAACAAATACTCAGTTCATTCAATGATTCCAGGGATGCCAGGCACTATTTGTCATGTCATCTCCTTGGAGATGGAGTAGGTATATCAGTTTTAAAATAAAAAAAAATTATAATTTCTCTGTTTTAGAAATAGTTACAAATTTTTAACTTGTGATCCTCCTGCCTTAGCCTCCTGAGTGCCTGGGATTACAGAGTGCGCCACCATGCCTACACCTAGTTCCTACCATACTTTTAGACTGGAACCTCCTAACTATATTTTCTGCTTTCTACTTTTGCCCTTGGATAATCCATTCTTCACACAGCAACCTGGGTAATCATTTAAAAGTAGATTATGTCCTCCTGATTTATTCAGACTTTTCAGTTGCTTCCTAGTGACTTGGGGTAAAGTCCATTTGCCATGGCCTACTGTGATTTGGGTCTCAATTACTTGCTCAATTTCCTTTCATTCTCATGTAGATTATTAAATTTTAGCCTAAAATGTTAACCATACTGCTCTCTGGTGTCACTGACCTTGGTTCCTTTAACATGCTAGACTTTTCCCTTGTTTTTGCCTTTGTTCTTGCTTATCTCTGTGGCAGAATGCTCTGCCCTTAATATCTGCTTGGTTACCTCTTAATTGTTCTGGTTTTAGCTCAAGTGTGATCACTTCAGAGAGACCTACCCTGCTATTCCTCCACCTGCTTACTCCATGACATGACATGACAAATAGTGCCTGGCATCCTGGAATTGTTGAATGAACTGAGTGTATTTGTTGAACTGAAATCACTGTAATTTGTCTCAAATCTTAAATTTAATCTGTTCCTTCCAGTAATTTGTTTTAGTATTTCATTATGGATATCAGTTTTATCATTTATGATAATTTTTCTGTTTTAGAAATAGTTACAAATTTTTGGTAGTTTGTGAGGATATACACATCTATGGAATATTCATTATATAGTTTTGGAAATTACTTAATATGTTAATCTCCTTTGATTAAACCCTTTGGATATGTGAGTAAAATCCTTGGACAAGTAAAAGTGGGTAATTTTTAAAAATACCTTATTCTAAGGTCTGGCATTAAAAACTTAGAAAGGCACTTTGAATATTTTTTAAAAATGCTCTTTATTTACCAGTAGGTGGCATCTTGGTCATGATTATTATTACAGAATTTTAGAATTTTAAGAGAACAGCTTTTAAAAATTAAAATTTGCTTCCAGTTGAGAAGTAGTCTATTCAAACAGCATAGTCACTAAGATGTATCCTATCGTAAAGACAATTTATTTTAGCAGTAGCTGTCTAAAACAGCAGAACAATATTTTATATTTAACTATATAGCAGTTAAATTTAATTGGGGAACCTGATCTCAAGTGACATCTGTCATTTTAGCCTGTGACTGTGGTTGTACTTTTTTCATCATGGTAGGATCTCAAACTGAGCAGAACCTAAGAGGAACCACCAGTGGCCAGACAGGGCAGGTGGCCAACAGATGGCAGGATGAAAACAGTATAGAAAGGTATTTCATGGGGTGGGTATCCTAAGTTGAGGAGGTGGGTATCTAAGCAGGAGGATGAACAAGAGAAGCAATAAGATAAAAAAAAGAAGTGGAACCATGAGGGGGAAGAATTGAGAATGGCCTTGCTGTGAGGTCATGCCTCTGATTACAATGAGCCTTTCCTTTAACAACTGATACTTACTAGGTCTTTTTCCGAGTTTCCCAAAACATTGTTTTTTCGTGTTGTCCCTGTTATCACAGGAACTTGGTGAGAATGTCAGTTTAAGGAAAAACTTTCCATGTTCCAGCCAGTGTACATCCAGAGATGTCAGTGTAATACCAGGAGCAGACTGTGTGTCAGTGAACCAGCCATACCCTGAATGACTCCTAAAATCTCATGGACTTCTAAAGTAAGTTTCACCTTCTTTTGGTGACGAAAAATCATTTTTGGTTTAGCACATTTAAAGGAGAGAAACTACATTTAGTAATCTTGCATGAGGTGAAAAAGGCCTTATGCTTTTTTTCCATTTACTAGAAAAAAGTAGCCCATGGCATGTTTATTTGCAATCAAGCTGCATCATACAATGGCAAGAAGAGTTTTTATCTAAAGACTAGTTACGAAGCATTGGGCTTTTAAAAATCTGATGTGGTTACAGCTGACTAAATACATCTGACTTGTATCACCACCTGGTTTAATCTTATGCTATTACAGAAGCAGAGTAGACTTAAAAAATTTTTTTTAGTTGGAAGATGGACATAATATTTTTATTTTTACGTGGTGCTGAGGATTGAACCCAGTGCCTCACACATTGCAAGGCAAGTGCTATACCACTGAGTGAGCTCCAGCCCAGAGAGTAGACTGACAACTGTATTTGACCTGATGAGCACCATCCAATTCTTTAATATTTCTTGCCAGAAATTAGTGCAAGAGGAAGACAAATTTACTGAGGTTCCCAAATATTTAAAAACCAAAACATATAAGAATACTTTTCAGAATATCCCAAACTAGAAAATATCCAAAAAGGCTAATAGAGTAAACAAATTTTGCAGCTTGTATCTGCATACATGTTCTCTTTTGATCTCCAAATCGGCCACATGCTGCATGATTCTGTCTTCAGAGGACTCACTCTCTCTCTCTCTCTCTCTCTCTCTCTCTCTCTCTCTCTCTCGTATACATATATATATGAGACCATATCTTCCATTCTGTAAGATTATAATGCTGAAAATTTCCTGTTGCCTTATGGCATTGAAGCCTTTGTAACATCTCAGAACAGCATGTTACTCATGCTTGTGATGATGCTAGTGTAAACAAACCTACTGTGCTGTCGCTTATATAAAAGTATAGCATGTATAATTACGTACTGCTGCTTGTCAGTTGACGTTTATTTTATTATATGCAGTGCTGAGAATTGAACCCAGTGCCTCATACATGCTAGGCAAGTGTTGTACTGCTGAGCCACAACCCCAGCTCTTGTATTGCTACTTGTAAAGTTTACTATAAAGCAATATGCCGTGTTATGCAGGCAGCAGCCTTTTATCTCTTGGTTATTGCATTTCTTGATTGCATTAAGAGGCCATGTTGAGTAACCTATGCTATGTAGGTTTGTGTAAGTTCTTTATGATGTTTGTATAATGACAATATCATCTGATGAAGCAGTTCTCAAAATGTATCCCCATTATTAAATGATTCATGGCTGTTTTGTTAGCATCAAGAATTACATACCTACATGCTGTACAGTTACAGTGAATCGGTTCTGAATGATTGCAAAAATTGTCAGGTAAACTCAGGCCCTTTGCTAACTGAACAACTCATAACTGTACCAACAGATTGAAACTATTTTTCACTGTTTCTTTAAATAGTCTGATGTTTCCCCAATTTTTCTTAAAATAATTTTAAACTTCATTCTTTTGTTTGCCCAGGAAGTACCATGGCCTGTGCTGCTTTCTTGATTTCTGGGTTGTTTCGAGGCTATGTGGGAGCAGTCTGCACTCGGGCTGCTGCTTCGAAGTTGACATCCAGCACTTCTTGCCACCTTACTTTCACGAGGTGAGTCATTAAGCCTTCAGAGCTGCTGAGAGTTGCGTGAAGCATATCAGACTCCAGAAAGAGGCAGCATCTTGGCTTAAAGATGCCTATCATTAATAGATCATTAAACTTCTGACCATTTTATAGGATCCATAATTATGTTGTATTTTGGATAACTGTGATATTACAGGGGAAAATAATTATTTTTATGAGGATAATACTTAATAACCTAATTTTACTTTTTATTAAAGCATAATGAAATCCAAAAGAAAAACTGATCACTTGGAGAGAACTGCAAGTGTCGTTCGCCGGGAGGTCTGTATCTTTTGGGCATGACAGGTTTTTCTGGTTGGACAGTTTGTGCATGGTTATGACAGTCTTATGGGGAAGGCAAGTTTGTTCTTTTCCGAAAATTTCTAAAGATATGTGATAATTTGAAAAGATAACAAGTCTTCAATTTTTCCTTTAAGCTTGAAATGAATGGGTTAATTTTTGAAGGCTAGAGTATGGCAGCATTAAGGGAAATATCCTCACAGGTTTGATGTTTAGAGTTACTTTAGAGATAGAACTACTTAGAGAGTCTATATTTTATGAATACCTTATCATTTCTTTTTTCTTTTTTTTTTTTTTTTTGGACACCGTGTCTCCAAATCCTTGTTCATCCATACTTTAGAACCACACTTCCTATTTCATCAAGGGAGAAAGCACTAACATCTGAGAAAGGAAGGTGTACAATTTTTCCACCATATTCAGACTATAGAGAGTTAATCTGCCACCTGAAGGGGTGTCAAGGGCTGGGAGCTAAAGGATCCTCACCCTTTACCTCAGTGAGTAACTATTTTCATTTAAAAACATAAATGGGATATTTGATTTTTTTTTTTTTTTTGAGTGTTTTTCACATTCAGATACGTTTAGCTTAGTATTAGGAGTCTGTTTAAACTATTAAAAATAAAAAGCTTTTTTTACACTTCTACAAACGTGATCATAAATTATATTGGCTTAGTAGTTTTAGTGTAATAGAAGGAGATTCTGTAATGTTTAGGCCCTACTTTAATTTAATTCTGCTTTCAGAAAATTGCTTTGGGATGGACTGAGGGTAATGTTCATTCAGCTTTATGGTGTGTTTTTGTGTGTGTGTGTGTGTGTGTTTTGTGTGTGTGTTTAAGTCTGTAAAATTAGCTCAAGAGAGTAGGTTCATAAGCATGTGGGAAGATACTTTTCCCATTGATGATCAATCTGAAAATACTTTGTCCACACAAAAATACTGATTCCATAAATGTGAAGTTTGTTAAGATTTATTTTTAAAGAGTGAAAAGTCTGTCAGTGTGAAGAAAACTGGTTGAGAGGCTTGGACTGTGCTCTTACCTGTCAGTTTTGAGGTAGATAAATTAGAGAAGTGTTGCCAAACTTTTTAAGGATCAGATGCAAATATTTTAGGCTTTATGGTCTGTATTATTTCATTTACAACTACTGGCACTAATTCTCATGTGAATTAAGAAAAAGTTGACAAAGTTTGACTATACTCTATTGGATAACATAAAATCTCAAGTACAACAACTACCAAACTATCTTTATAATGTGAAAACATCCGTGACATGTACACAATTTGGTGTGACAGTTCTAATAAAACATGATTTCCCAAAGTTGTCCTATATGTAATGGTTGCCGGTCCCTGAATTAGAGTAGTCATTTTAGAATTTTATAGGACAAAATTATTGGGACTTTGGGGTAGGGGTGATTTTGGAAGTTTAGGACAAAGAAAATTCTTTTTTTTTTTTTTTTATTGTTGGTCATTCAAAACATTACATCTTTCTTGATATATCATATGTCACAATTTGATTCAAAAGGGTTATGAACTTCCATTTTTACCCCGTATATAGATTGCTGAATCACATCAGTTACATCAGTTACATTTCCATTGATTTACACATTGCCATTCTAGTGTCTGATGAATTCTGCTCTCTATCCTATCCTCTACTATCCCCCCTCCCCTCCCCTCTTCTCTCTCGACCACCTCTACTGTAAAACATTTATTCCACTTGTA